AGGTCGTAATGTGATGTGTTTTTTATATATCGACTTCGTTCACGATGACTTCAGTTTATGACTTTTTTAATATTTTCAGAAAATATTCTTATGTTCTTTTTATCTTTGAATCATAAAAAATAATTCACAAACTGAAAATATAATCAACTAAAGTTTCAAGTAAATTGACTGAACGTCTGTGAAAAGAAAGTATTCCACAGTTTTGGAGTGATAGCACCGAAAACTATTCCACCTCAATATTTTCATACGAGCAGCCTTTGCAATTCCAGCGACATGATTGTGCCAAGACATGGTGTCCATTTTCACCCCCAACAAACTCATCGAAGCAGAAAGCAGAATTGTCTGTCCTGTCATTATTATGTCCGGTTGAAGACATTGATCTTTTTGGCATTGAATAGAACCTGGTTAGTTTCACCCCAATTGAAAATCACTTCTAGATACTCATCAAGATATGCAACCTCCTGCTGCCGGTGAAGATGTGTATCCGCAGCCGATGTCCTGGAATCTAAATGGAATGACGAAACAAGTGTGCTGCCGTCAGCGAAGCAATATATTGGATTCTTCATTTTGTCCAATAAGTCGTTGATATGAAATAAAAAGAGGCTTGGAGATAATATAGATCCCTGGGGAACACCAGCGTTGACGGTAAAAGTATTCGATAGATAACCATCGACGGCCACTTGCAGGGAACGTTCTTTCAGAAAGCTGAAGAGCCATGCACAGAAATGATCTGACAAGCCATAGCATCGATGTTTGGCCAGCAAAGTCTCATGCCACACACGACCAAAGGCCTCAGAAATATCAAGCGCGACAGCTCTTAAATCTACATGTTTCTCAATTACGTTATTCCAAATATGGGTCACATACAATAGAAGGTCACCTTCGTTTCCGAAAGCCATATTGAATATCGCTCAAGATGTTGAAGCCTTCCAAATATTTAAGTATATGGTGGTTTCCGGCTTTCATCATGATTTTTGATATCACTGATAGCAAAGTTACTGGTCTATAGTTATTTGAAAGATTTTTCTTGCCCTTTTTGGGAATAGGCTGAACGCGAACAATATTCCAACAGGAAGGAAAAACCTCTTCCTTGTAAGGCAAGTTGAAAAGTCTGCAACATACTGGTGCGAGTTCATTTGCGCACTTTTCAAGTACGATGACGGGCACTTCATCAGGGCAAGACGCCTTTTTCATATTGAGCTGTTTCAAAATTCGCCTGACTAGACGTTGTCGAAAAGGTTGGACGAGGTTACGGAATGATACGCGTATTTACACCAGAACGGTGTATTAACGTCTCTTCTACTTCGAGTCACAAACGATAGTGAGCAAATCATACTTTCTCTAAACTATTACACAATATAATCGGCACTGCACCAGTCATCCCGGTGACTAACGGTCACATAATATATA